TTTATTAAAAGATCATAATTTCAAAATGTTTGTTTTTTATTTGCAATGGGCTATCAGTGAAATAAAAAATGTACTCAAAAAATACTTCAATGAAGTACTTTAAGAGTACAATATAAATTTACCAAAAAAAGATGTTCTAGTGGTGCTTTTTCTCTGTCGGAGAAGTGCTTTTATGTAGCATTTCACGAATACTTCCAACGTACGCTTGGAGCACTTAGAGCACTCCATGTTGGAAGTGCGCAATTGCAGTGCTTCTACGATTGCGCCTTTTTTTACTGGCCGGCTGGACATCCCAGAAGCGGCTGAGTGGTTTTCACAAGTACTGCTCAAGCACGCAAATGTGAAAATACAGTACAATTGAAGTACTTTTCATGTAGTTTTGTGTTATCTGGGAAACATCTAAAGACATGTGGAGTAAGTTAAAAACTGTTTTTGACAAAGAATCTGTAGTAAGTGTCCACCTATTACAACAGCGATTTTTTCAGCTAGAATTCAGTAACTGTGAATCAGTAGCCACATTTATTTCACAAATAGAGGAAATAAAAACTAAACTTAAGACAGCAGGGGAATCCTTGTCAGATCAAATGATTATGACAAAAATTTTAATGTCTCTACCAGAGCAGTATAAGCATTTCAGGTCTGCCTGGGAATCTGTTTCAACGGATAGCCAAACGTTGGAGGAATTGACCTCAAGACTACTCCTGGAAGAAGAACGTAGCAAGTCCTCAGAAAATCCAACTGCATTAGCTACCAAAGGTCCTAATAATTCTAAGATACGTTGCCACGTTTGTTCTAAAATGGGCCATCTCGCAAAATATTGCTATTTCCGAAACAAAAATAAAAATTATTACTCTGAGGCAGAGGGTAACAGTCATCAATTTCATAAAAAGGAAAAATTTTGCACATATTGCAAGAAAAAGGGCCACGAAATACAGAATTGTTGGTTCAGAAAAGGAAACAATAAAATAAAACATCAGAAAAAAGAACAGGTGAAAGATGAAGATACAAATGCCTTTATGGTATTTACAAATGAAGCCAAAGCAAATGATTGGTATCTTGACACCGGCGCTAGCGAACACATGTGTTGCGATAGAAGATTTTTTGATTCAATAAACGATCTGAAATATAAGAAACAAGTACAAGTAGGAGATGGAAATAAAATAGAAGTTAAAGGAATAGGAAAAATCAATTTATGGGCTTCAAATGGACAGAAATTAATAAGAACTACGTTAGCAAATGTAATGTATGTACCAGATCTAAAGTTCAATTTATTTTCAGCTGGGTGTGCCTTGGATAAGGGGTATTATTTGACCTCGAGCAATAAAAAATGCGAGTTTATCAATAAAACTGGAAAAGTTTGCGCAGTTGCTACTCGTGAAAACAATCTCTATAAAATGCATTTCACCTTAATAGAGGATAAATATTACATAGCGAATATTTCTATTCAGGAATTGAAGATAAGTGAAAAGAAGGAAGAAAAGAGCTGCCCAGAGGATAATGAACTCCTTGACAATCCAATTGTAGAATGCATGCAGGTAAAAATTATAGAAAATATTAAAGATTAGCACTGTAAGTTAGCTCATCAAAATCTCAGCTATGTGAGGGATTTCCTCAAGAGAAACAGCATTCAGTTTGTTGATTGTGAAAAAGATTTTGTTTGCGAACAATGGTTAGCAGGAAAGCAGTATAGGTCACCTTATAAACTTAGTGAGTCTAGAGCTACTGCACCCTTGGAATTGGTACATGCAGACGTTTGTGGACCAATGAAAACCGTATCTTTAGGAGGTTCTAAGTATTTTTTGCTATTTAAAGATGATTATTCAAATTACAGATACGTTTACTTTATGAAGGCAAAATCTGAAGTGAAAAAGAACATTGGAAATTTCATATCACTTGCTGAAAAAGAGACTGGTTGCAAATTAAACGTCCTAAGGACAGATAATGGACTAGAATTTTTAAATAATGAAGTACGAGAAATGTTAGAAACTCGTGGAATAAAACATCAAAGGACTGTAGTTTACACACCTCAGCAGAACGGGAGAGCTGAAAGAGAAAATCCAACTTTGGTGGAAGCAGCCAGAACTTTATTATATTCAGAAGAAAGATTAAGTAAAATTTTTTGGGCTGAAGCTATAAACAATGTAAAATATACTTTAAATCGTACTGGACCAAGTCCACAAAAACAAAAATCTCCCTATGAACTGTGGTACAAAAAGAATATCAATTCAGTACAAGTTTTTAAACCATTTGGAATAAAAGTTTCAGTACATGTACCCAAGGAAATTCGTCTGAAATGGGATCCTAAAAACAGAATGGGAATGTTTATAGGATATGATGAGAATGTGAATGGATATAGAATATATATGCCTGAAAAACATAAGGTTGAAATACACAGAGATATTATTTTTATACCTAAAAGTATCAAAAACACAGAAAAAGTAAATGATAACTTGAATACACAAGAAATATGTTACAAAACTGATGATTCTGAAAGCGAAGAAATACAAAATGACCCAAGAAATGATAATTTATCCGAAAATGTAAGTGAAGCAGAGGAAATTGAGAATTCTGAACATCAAGATGTAGTTGACTTCCCGGAAGATGATGCTGATTCAGATGTCAATGAAGAAATTGTAAATTCAAGATATAATTTAAGAAGAGACCGAAAAAGAAACACCATGTATGATGATTTTGAAATGGATATAAACAAAGTGCTACTGATGAGAAGTGATTTTGATGATAGTGATCCTGTGTGCTATGATGATGCAATGACAAGTAGTGAAGCTAAAAACTGGAGAAAGGCTATGGAAAATAAAATAAAAGCTTTAGAAGATAATGAAACATGGTTTCCAGTTAATAAAGAGGACATAAATAGACCAGTGATAGACTGTAAATGGGTTTTCAAAAGAAAAATGGATGAAAATGGACAAATTTCAACATTCAAGGTTAGATTAGTAGCAAGAGGTTTTATGCAGGAGCTTGGTATGTTCAATAATGATATTTATAGTCCTGTAGCTAAATTGGTACCAGTAAGGATTTTCTTAGCTATGTGTAATCATTTTGCTTTCAAGATATATCAACTTGATGTTTGTAGCGCTTTTTTAAATGGCGATAGTGATGACGATGTTTTTATTTCATTGCTGCAAGGTTTTGATGAAAATGAAGGTCAAATAGTCAAGCTAAGAAAATCTTTATATGGTTTGAAATCATCACCAAAAAATTGGTACAAAAAATTTAATGATTTGATGTTCTCTCTAAATTTTATAAGGTCAGAAAATGAATATTGTATTTATATAAAAATAACTGAGACATCAAAAACATTTATTTTGCTGTATGTAGATGATCTACTATTAGCAGGGTCTGATGATAATGAAATACAAAAATTGAAACAAGCTTTAAACCACAATTTTAAAATGAAGGATCTGGGGTCAGTTAGATATTTTTTTGGGAATGTTTATATGTCAAAATTTAGTTAAAAACGAAATCACCCTAAACCAAACAACATAATAATATCTTAAAAATGTTCTAAAGCGTTTTGATTTGCAGAACTGTAAACCAAGTAATTTGCCAATGGACTTAAATTTCAATCACAGTGAATTAATGCGTGATAAGTCTGAAAACAAAGATATAGAAAACAAATGTCGAAAAGCAATAGGTTCACTTCCGGACCGGATCTGTGCATCGCAATAAGTATTTTGAGTCGATATCAATCTACGGCAAGTATTCAATTATGGCAATCAATCAAAAGAACTTTAAGATATGTTCAAGGTACTATAAATATGTCACTGGTGTTTCGAAAGAATAACTTTAAAGATATTGTTGTAGGTTATGCAGATTCAGACTGGGCTGGAGACAGAGAAGACAGAAAATCAACCTCCGGTTATATTTTTAAAGTTTTTGGATGCACTGTCAGTTGGTCTTCCCGTAAGCAGGCAACTGTCGCTCTGTCTTCAACCGAGGCTGAGTATGTTGCTCTCAGTGTTGCAGTGAGCGAAGCCTGCTGGCTAAGAAATTTAATTTTTGATTTCAAAATTGAAAACTTTGAATGCTTTAGTGTAATCATTTATGAAGATAATCAATCCGCAATCAGAGTTTGCAAAAATCCGGAATTTCATAAACGGCTGAAACATATTGATATAAGATATCATTTCATCCGTGACAAAGTTAAAGATAAAGTAATCATTTTAAAGTACATTTCAACAAAATTTCAAATTGCTGATTTTTTTACAAAACAAACTTTGTTCAATGATTTTCGGATCAAGTGTGATATAGCCTAACATTTAAAAAAAAATATATATTTGTATTAGTTTTATTATTTACCTCGTTATTTACATATTATATAGATTAGAGATTTACCATTGAGGGGGAGTGTTAAAAATACCTACGTAAAGGTAACTAGTCAACCTGTGCAACGGTAAATCTAGTTAGATAATATTCTATTGTTTAAATTTTATTTAGTCACCCTTGCTTGTAAAAAAAAAAGATGATACAGAGAATAGTCAACACGTTGTCAATAAGTCTGTCAATAAATTGTAATTTTTCCATACAATCATTATAAAAACTCCTACTGTATTTTAATAAAAGTATTTAAAGGTGCCAGTGTTATCCACTGCATTAAAGAAAACAATATGTCCTATACCTATTTTATAGAAGCAATGATCTTGTCAGAAACTAAAGGAAAAAGATTTTAACCAGCAAGTGGGGGTTCAAATTGAAAAAAATTGTGGAAGGTGCCTACAAGACAAGATTGGTAGTTTAAGGCTGGCAACTGAATTACAAGAAACTTTAGAATTTCGTTCCAGATAGAAACTCTTGCCAAAGAAATCCATTGTAAACAATAAAAGACTCTAAATTATTACGCTTTTGATGCTATTCACAAACCAAAGCAAAGCATGTAGTCTTTCAAAATTTAAACGGATGGTCATTTGAAGCTGAAAAAGCGATTCATTAAGTATTTGTTAACAAAAATTATGTAGATTATAAAACGCAGAGGAGAAAACGCGTAGATAAGAGCAACGACGCGCGTCCCTATCAGCTTCTATAAAAGCTCGGAGCGCGAATGGCAACCAGTTTCACTCTTCGGGATACTTTGCTGATCAGCAACAGGTCCCAAAAGCTATCGCTTAAGAACTCAACAGTTGAATATATTCTACTGTTTGCGAACAGTTTCGCAAAAGTTTTCTTATTTTGGTAAAGTTATCAGTTTTGTCCGCGGTCGCGCCACGATTTTTTAGATCTTGTTAAATTTGGTAAGTTTATTACTGCTCTATGATTAATTTATATATTTTTATTACCTTTTTCATTATCTCAGATACCTAAGTATAAAATTAATACATGACGTCACTTGCGGAATAGTTATTTTGATAATTTTTCCCAGCACTACGAAAAAGTCTTCATTCAATTCAATATAAATTGCTCGTCTCAAAGTTTTCTCAGAGTTAAGTACCCATATTATTTAGTTTTGTTGCGATGGCGCTCCGACGTTTTTGATTCTAAAAAATTGTTAAACTTATTGCATCTTTTCACAATAAATGAAATGGTTTTGGTTCAAAATATAACTAATTGAGCATAAAAAATTACTGTTCGAAAGTAAGCTCCAGTACAGTATCTCTGAGAGTAACATAGACGAAATAATCGAATAAAAAGGAAACTTTGAATAGAGTTTTTGAAACACCCAAACAAAATCAACAAATACTTCCACATTCCAAGAAGCAAGTAGGAGAAAAATTGTCAATAAAACAAAAAATATATGGTGGCATTCGCGATAAATTCAGAAAAAAATTGTACTTTTTCTCTTAACATTGTAAATAATAATAAAAAGTTTTACTATAAAATTGTAAAAAACTTCATTGCTGATTGCTAACGAAACTACATTTCACATCATTGGGTCATTTGCATTATCGTTCCAGAAAGAGAAATTTTCCGTATTTGTCTGTCTACTTTTAAATGCTAGTGTTAAACTTGCTACAATAGTTTTTTCAGATTTGGACAGTTTGTCCAGCTCGGATAAAACCCAAACTAACCCAATAAAGTTCCTAAGAAAAATAGGAAATTTGAATATTACTATCGTATCCTGACAAATTATGTCCTAAACGCGTATAGTATGACTGAAATACTGGACAATGAATTGCAACACGTATGAGTATGAATAATTGAACTTGAGATGAAAATTATGAAAAATCTGATTATTTTCAGTTATTGATTTAAATTCTAAGAAAACTTGCTATCTATCTATCATATTTATAGACTGTTCCTTATTTTTGAAGAACCATTTTTATTTTTATTTTAAAATTGTTTATCTGAAGATCGTCAAATAATGACTCCAATATTTGTGAGTTTTTAGGCCAGTAGTGAGTTCCAGTTCAGTGATGTATCCGACCTAACAACGAATCGTTTATTTTCTCATCAAATCATTTCCAATGTTACAAATGCAATTTTTTTTAGCTGTTTGTTTGTTGCGATTTACATTACTTTTTGAAATGTTATGAGAAACGAATCAGATGCAAAAAGGAGATGTGCCCTGCGGAGAATTGCCACTCTATGGTGAAACAATATTTTCGAATAGCCAGCGTATGCGGGGCACGTTCATAGTTTCTGTTGGTTAACTCGTAATGTATGTAGGTGTATAAAAAGAATATCCGAATTCCTCTCTGATGTAATCTCTATACTTTGAATGCATGGGATTTTTTTTCGAAATTTTCATTGATGTTTGTTGACTGATTTCCTGAATTTGTTTGACATAAAAAACATTGCATAGCCTATCAAAATGGCTGCTATAATTTCCGAAATATTGCCAGTATTCGATCTGTTGATGTAAATTGAGCCCTCTAAGAGTATAGAGTGAACACAGTTTCAAGTTTAGTTAAATCATTGAGGCATACTTCAAACACTTTAAATCGCATGAGTTTCTCATCTGCTGATTCATTTACTTACTGTATGTTCACAGAATTACTTTGAGTTTATTTCTCTTGCTTCACCTAATGGGCCTTTCAGTATCTTGTATTTAGTAGCTTTTATCCGATTGAATTCTTCGTATCACTGACTCTATATCTATCTACATTTTAGACAGATTTCGGACTCTGATTACTAGAAAATCTCGTCTTTGCTTTTCATGGATCGTTTAATGAGAAAATTGGGCATCTTATCGAGTTTCTCACACTGTAAAAAGTTGGTTCATTTGAAATTTGTCACTAATCACGGTAATATTTTTGCGAAAAAGTGTGAGTCCTTAACTCTCTGGGATCTGATGCCTCTACCCAGCCGATGGTTTTAATTCTAAGGAAAGACTAAGGCACTTTCATTGTTCTCAAAGCTTCCACAGTAGATTGGTGGACATTCCCAGAAATCGTACTCTATTTTACTCCGAGCGGAATTTCGTGCGACATTCGGCAACTTGACGTTTCCAGGGTATTTCGACCCCGCTGAATACGAATCCGGATATTGCCAAGCCAAATTTTGCCTCAAGGCCTCAACTCTAGGATGACAACAAACTAGGGGCCTAAATGACATTTTTCTTAAAGTGTATCGTTATTGACCGGCGAGATGTCGTTTCATATGTTTTTGGGGTCGCTGAACATGAATATGAATACCGGAAGTCGATTCGGATATTGAAAGTACCGTAATCCAAGATGGCGACCGGTTGGCACCCAAATATCAAACTTTAAAAAGTTGCTATATTATGACGTGCTGGGTATGACCACAAGCGTTTTGGAGCTCACTGAACACGAATTTGAGATCGAAAAAGCGATAGGAAACATGGTAACACAGGTTTGCCGAAATAAAATAGAACAACTATACTTTGAGGGGTAAACAAAATGTACAAAACATTTTACATGAATATATCATCACTGTCATTGTTGTTTTCGCAGTCTGCCTGACACTTGCGCAACTTGGTGCAGACCTCTCTCTCCCGCCTGCACTTGCACAAGCCTGTACCGCACCCTGACCTGCAGCCACAACTCAGTAACTGCGTGCAGGACTTGGGCACCGCTGGCAGGGTGGTGTAGACTGGGATGTAATTCTCCTCCAGACGGCATCCGTACCGGCAAGCATCAGGAAGGTCTGGCCTTGTTATATGTGCATTCAGCCAGACCCCGGCTTGGTAGGTGGCTCGGAGAATGTGAAGCCGGGCTGCATCAGACGTAGCTGAGAGTAATTCAGGACTTGAAACTTTTCCAAAAAGAATGTGTCTCGCTTCAATACAGGTATTTTCTCTTCTCTTGTACAAAAGTACCATGAATTGCTCGCACTGTGACAAAAATCTCTCCTGAGCTTTTGCAACTGCGAGTCCATCAAGAAGCTTGGAATGTGTACGATATACAACTAGAGCACCTCTCTTTCCTATACCTGTAATATGAATTCAAATAAAGTGTCTAGTACAGCAAAAATATACGTAAAAAAAGTAAACTGGATACCGACCTGCCAAGGTTTGGCTGAATGCATATATAGCAAGGCCTGATCCTTGCCGGTACTGATGGCGTCTGGAGGAGAATTACATCCCAGTCTACACCACCCTGCCAGCGTTGCCAAAGTCTTGCACGCAGTTACTTAGTTGTGTCTGCAGGTCAGGGTGCAGCACAGGCTTGTGCAAGTGCAGGCGGAAGGGAGAGGTCTGTACCAAGATGTGCAAGTGTCAGGCAGACTGCGAAAACAACAATAACAGTGATGATGTATTTATGTAAAATGTTTTGTGCATTTTGTTTACCCCTCAAAGTATAGTTGTACTATTTTATTTCGGCAAACGTGTGTTAACATATTCTCTATCGCTTCTCCTCCAAAACACTTGTGGTCATACCCAGCTCGTCATATTATAGCAACTTTTTAAAGTTTGGTATTTGGGCCTCAACCGGTCGCCATCTTGGATTACCGTACTTACGGTTGCCTAATCAATTTCCGGTGCTAATTTTTGATCTAGTCAACGTCAAAAACCTATGTGCCGATACGCCGCACTTGACAATATGCCAACTTCTGAAAGTTCTGTATTTAGGCCCCCGACAGCCGCCATCTTGAATTATGGTACTTCCGGTATCCCAATCGACTTCCGGTACCCATATTCATGTTCAGCGACCCCAAAAACATATCTCGCCGGTCAATAACGATACACTAAGAAAAGTATCATTTAGGCCCTTAGTTTGGCCGCCATCTTGAATTTGAGGCCTTTGGATTTAAAATTCGGCTTGGCAACATCCGGATTCGGAGTCAGCGGGGTCGAAATACCCTAGAAACGTCAAGTTGCCGAATGTCGCACGAAATGCCGCTCGGAGTAAAATTTCTGAAAATGTCCACCAGTCTACAGCTACTGAACAAGCTAGCAGCCATTACAAATCAAACCACTAGCCAAGAACATTGAACAAAGCCAATCACGAGCCTAGAGCGGCACCTTGAATCCACTAGCCTCAGACAAGTTGCAAGAGCACCAGAACGATCTAAGCTACAAAACTGAAAAAAAGGAGTGAACTTCAGACATGATCGAATTGAGGGTTGCATAGTACCTTTTGTTCGAGCGGATATTTTCCGATTTTTCCAGGGCAAGGCCCAGCTTAAGTCTGGGATTATCTGATCGGATCAAGCGTTGCCTATAGTTCCTTTTGTCAGAGCGGATATTTCCTGACTTACACTACGGGCCCTTTTGCTAATATTGTAGAGCAGGGCTGGTACTTTCACGACCGTCTGACCCTATGATCCCTGATAGGGAGTAGAGCTACTTATTTACTCATTGGGAGGAAAACTGTAGTAGACCCGGGGGGATTTACTGGCAAAGAATAATCCCAATTTGGTAATTACTTTGATGCGCCTCGAATCAATTTATATATTTATTTGAAAATATTATATTGTTCCCTTGGTACCTTCAAGGCGGCTAGTTGAACGACAATAGCGGAGAGTGTAAAAAATAGCATGCATCGGCACCGAAAATGTTTCAGCAAAGTCTTCCATCTCTATAATATCGATAGATTAACCTAATGCCATTAAAACTCTCCCTCTTGATAAATTGTTAAATAATATCTAAAGCTAAGCGTTCCAAATACATAGATAAACCCCGTGTTAACAGCCCGCAGCCAGCCGAAAAAAAAAATCATGATCTATCGTTTTAAAAACGCATAAATAATCCAGTTTGACACAGCGCTTCCGTTCATATTCAAATATCTGAATAAGCAAGCATTTTCGGGAAGGGGATGTGTTCATAAATTTTCGTCGTTGTAATTACTGACATTCCGTCTGAAATAAATGCCCCTTTTTTTTAAAGGTTTAT